TCCCCCCCCCCCCCCCACACACACACACGTTCTTTTTCTCTTTCCTGCTCCGCCCCGCTACTCCCCAACGTAATCTTTTCGAAGCATGTGCAAATTAAATTTTTTGAAGAAAATTAATGTGGAAACCATAGACATCGCGATATTATTATTATTATTATTATTATTATTATTATTATTATTATTATTATTATTATTATTTTTATTATTTTTATTATAATTAATGGCAAAGTCGCACAACTTATATATATGATTCAACCTTTTATTTGCATGCGTCACATTTGGCATGCCACATAAACTAGGAACCATTTGGGGTGTGGGGGGGGGGGGGGTACTGCTGAAATAGTAGTGTGAGCGTGTGTGTGCGTGTGTGTGTGTGTGTGTGTGTGTGTGTGTGTGTGTGTGTGTGTGTGTGTGTGTGTGTGTGTGTGTATTGTGAGCCTGTCTCATTTTTTTTCTCCTCTGGGACTCCAATCTCACGTCGCTCACCCCCTCCCTTTAAAAAAATCCTCCTTCACGAAAACCATTGAAATAGTGAGAGGAGATTTCGGAAGCATTGGGAAAAAGAGGAGGCGGAAAAAGAGACTACAATAAAAATGCATGTCATTATGCTCATAAGACAATTGCCTTAGTCACTTTTCGTGAGTTTGGAGTATTTTGTTCTGAAATGGAGAGCAGAGACAGTTGGTAATAACTAATAATATAGTTCACTTGGACAAAAGAATAATCCAAATATATAATCAATCGAGGTTACCAAAATTCAAGCGTCATAGAGTCAATTGTCTGAAAGAAACAGTTTTTAAATTCTCATTTAATCAAAATAGCTAAAATTGACTTAGGCATTTGCCTTATAAGCGTGAATATGTGTACTCTGTTGAAACAAAGAGAGGCGCCAAAAGGAATAGGAGTAGGTAGACACACAGGCCCATCCACTTAGATACAGACATACATACAGACAGACAGACTTACAGACTGAGAAATAAATAGATAAATAAAGACAGACAGACAGACAGACAGACAGACAGACAGACAGACAGACAGACAGACAGACAGATAGACAGATAGATAGATAGATAGATAGATAGATAGATAGATAGATAGATAGATAGATAGATAGATAGATAGATAGATAGATCAGAAGAAAAGGGGAAGAGAAAGAAATCAACCACGCACTTGTGGAAAAAATCAGAACAGACAAAATTAGGTGACCCCAAAATCCCAAAACGTCTACACAGTAACACAATACAACAAGGTCGCCCAAAGGGTGCAGACTACTCACATTTTTGAGGAGGGTTCCCCGGGACTCTTCCATTGGCAGCCCCGTCCGGCGGTTCTTGATTTCCGTTCTGACTCATGTTGGCTTCCGAGATTCTTCGTTCTGAAAGTAAATTAAATAAAAATCGTTAATGTTTTGCGACTCCCTTGATACTATTTGAAACATTTGGGGAATTGTGTTTCTTTGACCCTGCCTATCAGGACCAACGCGGCCAACGGGTGTGTGTGTTGGGGGGGGGGGGATACAAAATCCCGACAGACAGTTGGAGGTACTCGTTAAGAAAGCCTCCCTAAAAGGCGGATCAAGCTCATGTCTTCTGGGTACGACGGAAAAGAACCTGCCGGCTATACCACAGACATTGGTTTCGTTCTGTGAATGAGACGAAAAGAAAAACGTTTTGTTTTTTTGTGGGGGTTTTTTTGTTTGTGGGGGGGGGGGGGGGGGGGGTACTGCTGAAATAGTAGTAGTGTGAGCGTGTGTGTGCGTGTGTGTGTGTGTGTGTGTGTGTGTGTGTGTGTGTGTGTGTGTGTGTGTGTGTGTGTGTGTGTGTATTGTGAGCATGTCTCATTTTTTTTCTCCTCTGGGACTCCAATCTCACGTCCCTCACCCCCTCCCTTTAAAAAAATCCTCCTTCACGAAAACCATTGAAATAGTGAGAGGAGATTTCGGAAGCATTGGGAAAAAGAGGAGGCGGAAAAAGAGACTACAATAAAAATGCATGTCATTATGCTCATAAGACAATTGCCTTAGTCACTTTTCGTGAGTTTGGAGTATTTTGTTCTGAAATGGAGAGCAGAGACAGTTGGTAATAACTAATAATATAGTTCACTTGGACAAAAGAATAATCCAAATATATAATCAATCGAGGTTACCAAAATTCAAGCGTCATAGAGTCAATTGTCTGAAAGAAACAGTTTTTAAATTCTCATTTAATCAAAATA